AAGTAGGGCCACTTTCTGGCAGGGGCAGGCCCATGTGACTACCAAGTATTGTTACCTTTACCCCTAGGCCTGAGTGGTCTCCAAAAGTTTTACAATTTTAAGAGAAAGACTGAGGGAAAAAGACATGGGCTTTGCTTCTGTGTATATGTGTACTGTGCATGTTCAGATGTATATATCTGTGTATAGATGTGTATGAATGTATAGATGTGTATGCAGGCCAGATGTCTACAATAGGTATCTGGTACCTCTCTCAAAAAAGCTATTTCCTTCCTTCCTCCCTCCCTCTCTCCCTCTCTCCCTCCCTCCCTCCCTCCCTCCTCCTCTCTCTCTTTCTCAATGTGTGATGTTTGCTCATATCTGTTTGTATAAGTGTTGGCCCCTGCCTTGCCCTTTGATTGAGACAAAGTCTCTTTTTTCGTTCCTGTGTGTGCAGGTTAGCTAGCCCCAGGGTTTCCTGGCTTCTCCTGCCTCTGCCTTGCTTGTCTATTACAAGCACTGGGGTTGCAGATGCGCATGTGCACCTGGTGGTTTTACGTGGGTTCTGGCGATTGTTTCACCAGAGAGCCCTTTTCCCAGCCAGTTTCACTGAACCTAGAGCTCTTTGATTCAGCGCTTCAGTTGGCCTTTGAGCTTCAGGGATCTTTTGTCCACTTCTCCCACCCCTCTCACCAAGCTCTGGTGTTATAAGCGCGCTGATGACAGCTCACCCAGCATTTTACATGAGTGCTGGGCCAACAGCATCTTCAAGCTTACACTGCAGCAACTTCACCCACTGAGCTTTCTGTTAGGCCAAGATTTGCCTCTATGACCACTCCATCACTTAGGGCCATTTCTTTCTGCCTTGGGGTATAAACCTCATGCTGTCACTTGTACTAAGCGTGGAGGAAAGCCCAGGAGCTGACTGGACTGGATTGCGGAAGAATTTGAACATTATGCAAATGTTTTTGGACTTAATCTGCAGTTAGTAGGCAATTGCTTTAGAGCATCGATGAGGGCACTGGAGTATCAGGGCTTGTCTGCTGTGCTGGCTAAATTTATGGCAACTTGACACCAACTGTAGTCATCTGAGAAGAGGGAACTTCAATGAAGAAAATGCCTCCATAAGATCAGGCTATAGGCAAGCCTGTAGGATATTCTCTCAAATAGTTGGTTGATGGGGAAAGGCCCAGCCCATTGTAGGTCATACCATCCCTGGGCTTGTGGTCCAGAGTTCTCCAAGAAGGCAGTCTGAGCAAGCTATATGGAACAAGCCAGTAAGCAGCTCTCCTCCATGGCCTCTGCATCAGCTCCTGCCTCCAGCTTCCTACCCTGCTTGGATTGCTGTCCTGATTGCCTTCAGTGATGAATAGCAGTATGGAGGTGTAAGTCAAGTAAACCCTTTTCTCCCTAAGTTGCTTTGGTCATGGTGTTTTCATCACAGCAATAGAAACCCTAACCAAAACATCTGCTGAACCAGTTCCTCTGCTCAAGCCGCAGATCCATGGTCTTCCGTGGTTCTGGGGATGTCCACTGACATAATCTCATAAAGGATGGTAAGACCTCAGCTGGCCTGGGTCATGGAGGGTGTTTGACAGCCGTGGTAGAGGCTAAGTTCGTGTGGTGGAGGACAGGGAAATGTGAGGGAGCTGTTGTGCACGGGGGTGGGGAAGGGTGGAAATCAGAGTAGGCTCTTAAGTAAGGGTGAATCCAGAGCTTATGGTATGTATCTGAATAGCCTCTCAGTCCAGAGCTCTAAAACGGGTTCCTGAGAGGTGATTAGTGTCCTCAGGCATTCTGGGATATTTTCTCAAGGAAGTGACAGTCCAGTGACACTGCCCTGTGATAAGTTTTACCTGGTCCCCACAAAGGTGGCTGTGGCCCTCTGGGGTGTCAGTCATCTCAGAATATTGGTGGGTAACAGGAAGTTGTACGCAAAGAGGCAAGTTACGATTACTGTTGAGTGGGGCACCTTGGGTCTCCTTGAGGAAGCTGGGTTCTTGGGTGGCTCTCAGATGCTGGTGTTAAGATCCACAGCATTGCTGTGCAGCCTAGAACCTGGCAGAGGACGCTGTTAAGTACAGGTTAAAGCAGCCCATGTGGGCACCTGTGGCCTCTCACAGTGGTACCCAAGGTGAGAAGTTAGTTTCCCTCTCTGTTATACCTAATGGAGATGCCCTGGAACAAGGAGATTCAAGGCTAAACACAAAATTCATTGAGTTTTCATCATACAGTGTGAATATTACACAGCCTGATGTGGTTTCAGTGTTGCGTGCCCCCATAGTAGTGTTACTCTGACATGAAGGCAGAAAGTGTGACACTTTCCACCTGTAGGGTTTTGTCAATGCTCAAATAGTTTCAGATTTTCAAGCATTTGGGGGCTTTTGGGTTAGGCATACTCAGCCTGAATCTGCCTGAAAGGGATAATTTATTATTTTTACCTCAGGCAGACTTATCAGAGGCAACCTGTAGTTCTTTAAAGTTACTGCCTCCCCGCCTCCTCCCTGCTCCATTTCCCTCCCCACTCCATCTCCCTTCATCTGTAATCTCATCACATCGCTGCGGGGGGGGGGGGGGGGGTAGGCCATTCCTGTGCATCTCTCTTCTGTTTCCTCCTGAGCTCAGGAACTCCCGCGCTCTGCCCCATGCCCTGCTTTGAATTGCCTGTCACCTGAGAGGTGGCAGAAGGGAGCTGCACCAGGGCTGTGCTGATTCCGTTCTATCCTTGGGGGACAATGACAACTGTGAACCTCCAGCAGAGTCAGGGCTTGGGGTAGCTCGATAGCTTCCAAATGGTTTGTGTAACCTGGGGCCTTAGACCTGGTAATGGCAGCTTTATCAGCCAGTTTTCCTTAGGGCTTGTCTTTTGAGGAGAGCAAAACTGCAGAGCCTTACAGCCTTTGTTCCAAGTTCACCATGCCATCTTTAACAGAAATCCTTACTGTTTATTGACAGCAGAACATCTGTCTAAATAAGATTTCCTGCCATCAGCCAGAGCCTCTCTGTTCTCGGATTAACATTCTCTGACAGATGATGCTGGTTAGGCCAGAAGCTTTTCAGTGTTAGATTCCATTCTTTATTGTTTTAATTTACCTGGGGCGGAAGCAATAATACTCTTTTTTTTGGGGGGTGAGAAAAATTAAAGGAGCCATTTTTAGCTAATAAAATGTCTGCAGTGGAAAAATGTGTCAGAGGATATATTTAGAAACACCTTTATGCAAATGGATTGAAGGGTTTAAGACTTAGGAGCCTCTTGCTCTTAACTCCAGATAGGCCTATTGTTTCAAGGCATGGGGACATCTTAACAGTGGGTTTACACCAACATACCTGCACACCACACATGCCTAGAATGGCAGTATTTGGTGAAGACATCCCTTGCTTGCTTTTATTGGTCCCACATTCAGAGTCTCCTCCCAGGCTCTATCCACTTGTGTAGTTTTGATTACTACATGGTCTTGCAGAATGAGAGTTTTGAAGAATGAGCTAAGGATAGATTTATATCCCTATAAGCATCACCTCACATCTGCTTTCTGTTATTTTTCTGGGTCCCTGCAAGGGTGACCAGCTTGCTTTCGGGGAGGGGGAGGGAGGAAACAGGAGCAGCTGTTTCAATCAACACTTCCCATGGTGGAAGATGACCTCAGATTGAAAAGTTGCCTTAAACAGAGTATGTACTTCCTAAGCAGCAGAAATCCTGCCAAATGGGAGTGTGTGTCCCTTTTGGGGTGACCTGGTCAGGGTTTCCCAGTCACCCACTGTATCCTCCTGAGGGAAGGGTGGCTGGCCTAATTTTTCTTGGATTTAATCATTTGACTCTCCAAATGCCAAGCCTATCTCTAGGACCACCTGGGGGTGGAATCAGCAGGCAGCCTTCCTGGAGTGTCTTGGGTTTGCTGAGGGATGGGGTCAAGAGCATGGTGTGGTTCCGGACCTCTGTTGTCTTCCAGGTACATTGCCCTCCGTTCAGTGAGCTGTTGTGTTCTATATAAAAATGGAGGTGAGTGTGATGGGCCCCACGGCTCATGCAGAACGTACTGTTTGTTCAGTGAGAGAAGCTAAACTGTGTGTACTTCATTGTTTCTGGCAGCTTTTGCTTAGTCTACTGGGTTCTGAAGCAGAGGGCTGACTCTCACGGTGTCCGAGTCTCTTTGACCCCACCTGTCCCTGGCCTACTCTGCAACCCCTGTTTTTTTTTTTTTTTTTTTTTTTTTTTTTTTTTTGGTTTTGAAGGTTGGTTTTATATTTAAATTGTATAAATTTTTTGCTTGTAACACCGTAGCATTAACTTCTAATTGCAAACATAAGAGGTTCTGCCCTGTTCCTCCCCCCCCCCCCCACAACACACACACCCTGGGTTCTTTAGCAAGATGTAGGGGGTGTGGTGGATGATTTCATTATGCAAAGAAAACTAATGTTGCTGATTTTTGCCAACACCAACTTACGTGCACCTTGGGAAATAGCATAATTCCGAATAATTTGGTAAGTGTAGTTTTGGATTGTGACATCTCTTCCTACAGACATGATGCAAATCTGAGTAGATTACGGTTAATTTAATGACTGGCATTGTGAAGTTTCTACATGGAAAATTCCTTGGGCCAGTGATACGGGTGAGCAGGCATAGTTCAGTGACCTCAGTTCAATCTCACGGCAGAAGAAGAGAAGTTGTCCTTTGACCTTCACATGCTCTTGGCATGTGTGTGCCCAAAGTCCTTAGTCTGTTCATGATGTATAACTTGAAAGAGATGGCAGTACATGTTCTAAAGTGCCCCTCTGCTCAGTTCCCAGGATTCCCAATTCCTCCCTGTAGAAACATCTTTAGAAATAGATAAGTGTATTTAATTAGGGCTTAATATTTGCTCTTTGCATGATGCCCTGTGTTTACAAGAAAGCAGCTACCAGTTGTGCACGTGTGAGCACAGGTGGGCACCGTTGTTTGTGAGTGGCTTCCCAGTGGTGCAGCCTTTGGGTTGGCATTGGTGACATTTGAGTTGCTCAGTGCCTGCACCTGTCTTCTTCCCTTCCAGCTGCAGCATGAGAAAGCCGAGCTGGAGCAGCATCTTGAGCAGGAACAGGAGTTTCAGGTCAACAAGCTGATGAAGAAGATTAAAAAGCTGGAGAACGACACCATCTCCAAGCAACTCACCCTAGAACAGGTGAGCCCCCGCTGCCTGGACTTTCCCTTCAAGCCGCCTGGGTGGGTGGGGAGGACACACGGAGGGGCAGTGGGGAGAGACCCATTTCAGCGCTTCCCTCCCACAGTGGGGACTGCATTTTCCAAGTGAGGTTTGGTGAGTTTACCGTGTCCCGTTCATCCTCTCACATGCTCTCTTGCTTTAACCACAGCCTGTTTCACGGGCTGTGCCGTGAGCTCCTGATTTATTAGTGGGAAGTGTGAAGTTCCCTTTCTGTGAAGCAGAGGGGAGGGAGGGTTCTAAGGCCAGGATGGTTTCTGTGGCGGTCCTCTGGCAGGCTTTCAAAAGTGGTTCAGAAGGAACAATGGACACAGCTCTAGCATTCTCATAGGAGCAGGCTCCACTCAAGCTAGCCTTGTATAGACTGACAAAGGAGCGGTAGACTGGTCAGTTCTTCCTGATGGACTATGCTCACTTCTCTGAGCCCTGGGTCTCCACTAGTAAACAAAACAGGGAACACTGAAACTGGGGGCAGCCGATAGGGAGGTACAAAAGGTCTAACTGGACCCATCCGCTTGTCCAACAGGCTGGTGTGGGTGTCCATTCCTCCATTCCAGAACTAGCCTTAAGCGTACACACTGGTCCCTCTACTCATGTCATATATAGCTGTGGCAGCCATCATCCTTCCTTTCAGGCCGTTGTGTCCCCAGCAGTGTGATCTTTGGTGCCTTTTCTCACTCAGTAGCCTGAAATGAGATTTCCCTAAGGTGCCCTAAAAGGCCATCCATGGTAAAAGACCGTCCATGGTGTATGGCCCTGTGCTTCCACAAAACGATGAGCAGGTGGGTGAAGCCTGTTCCGGCTCCATCCTGCAGCTGTTGAGTATTATGTAATGATTTAGCTACACTTGTGTTAGCCCTCTGACATCTGTGGAACTGTATGTCTTTTCTGATTGTCCTCCCTCATGCATTTTGTCTGTTACTCTGTAGCTCTAGTTGTTAACAGTTTACTTGAGTTGAAGCCAGTGTGGGAATGAGAGGCATTTTCAGCCAACAGTGACTTCTTTTCCTTGTGTTTTTCACATACTTCCTACACAAAGGTGTCTAAGGAGGGGACCGATTGTTCTTGGGTTTTGTGGGGCTGAATGATTTTCTTTAAAAAATGCCCTCATCCCTTCCATGTTAAATTTGGTTTCCAAGCGCTGCTTATTTCCTAAGTATATCTAGAGTATTCTGTTCCTGCTAATAAGCTTTGAAGTGTAGATACAATGTTTTAGAAGACTTATTTCCCCAGTTTTAAAACATTTTGTTCCAGTGTTTACCTACTGATTACAGAGGTAGACAGGCGGTTCTGCAAGGTAAACCTTTAAAGATTTGTGTCTTAATCCATGATAGAGGTCCCAGGCATCTAGACCATTTAACTGAGGGACACCCAGGCAGCTCAATAAGAGTCTCACAGTATCAGTATTTTGCAGAATACACTGGGAAGTTAGGATGTTGGTCGTCTGTATTTTAAGCAGCTTCTGCCTGATAATGTGTTCATAAGCTATGACCCCCTTCCCCAGGTGTCGAATTGGCCCCAAGGTGGAGAAAGTAAGCTAGCATCAGCAGGAAAAGGCTGTGATCCCTCAGGCCTTGGGGAGGTAGGGAAAAGGGGGTATTGTTTGACACAACTTTTCCAAGGGAGACACAGCATACATGCCTACTCACCTCTGATAGGGTCCAGAAGACCAAAATATGGACACCACCAAAGTCCAACTTGGTGAACCAGTGAGTGAGGTTTCTTCCAGGAATATGGGTGGGGGATTATAGGAACAGAAATGACTCAAAAGACTCTGACACCAAGGCCTATCCCAGCATGGGTGACAGCTCACAAAAGCCAGAAACCTGGAGAATGTTGCAGAGAGCCTACAGGCAGCTCAACAGGTTTGGAGAGTGTCCTTAGTTCAGACTTATCCCAGGCAGGTGGCGAGTTTCTGTTTCTTCTAAGCAGCTGGTGTGGTCTCAAGTCTTCTTTGTAACTTTGCTTCCTTGAGTCTGAGGAGGGGCTCTGTTTTATTTGCTGGCTCTGACCGGGAGGGCTCTAATGAATCTGGTCAGTTTCAGGAGGCCTTTCTGGGGCTATTTTGAGTTGTTTATCTTCACTACAGGATGGAATGTTTCAATCTCAGAGGAACTTGCATGAAAAGGGGGTGTGAAGTTGAGATTGGAGCAAGAATGGTCATACCCACTGGCTTTCAAGCTCTAGTCTCTTGGCAGGCTTAAGGAACAGCCCAAGGTACACATTTGGTCTGCCAGCTTGCAATTTACTAGGAAAGGGTCCAGCAGTGTGCCTTGCAGAGCTTCTTGGTAGAAGGGAATTTGAGATGAGGTATGTCAAGGTAATGTTAATTAAAGTGGAGAAATGTAACATTGTCTAAAATGCCTCTGGCAGGGGTGTGGGTAGGTCTCAGTGGTTAAGTGTGAAGAACTATACTGCATCTTTTTACACTGCATGTTGTCTTCGCCAGGGTTTGGTGGTATGTTCTGGTTTCTGCTGAGCCACTGGGGCATCACCTGAGCAGCTCTGTGGTCAGCTCAGTGATTGTCTCTGTGTATCTGGGTGGGGTGCTATGCCATCTGTTGGCTTGGCATGGTGTGTGCTGTTAATGTGCTATGCAAGGTCTGTTACCTTCAATCTTGGGCACCTTTGTTTTTCCTGACAGTTGGTCACTGTTTGGGGTGCTCTCTCCTATGGCCCCATATACACACCATGGTTAGGCAGAGCTGTCATCAGTGTTGCTTTGAGCATAAGAGAGCTGTCATTTACCTGTTAGAAAACAGCACTCTCTCTCTCTCTCTCTCTCTTTCTCTCTCTCTCTCTCTCTCTCTCTCTCTCTCTGTGTGTGTGTGTGTGTGTGTGTGTGTGTGTGTGTGTGTGTGTGTGTGTGTGTGTGTTCAGGGCCTGCTATTGATATGAAAGGAACCAGGTGTGAATCTGGTTCCTCTGTTTTGGTTTTGCTTCTGTTTCTGTTTTTGAAGACAGGATCTCATTTAGGCCAGGCTGGCTTCAAACTCACTGTTGCAGCTGAGGGTGACTTTGAAGGTTTGGTCTTCCTGCTGCCAGTTTCTAACCCAGGGAGTCAAACCCAGGGCATCTTGCATGCTAAGTGGGCCATCAACAACTAGCCCAAGCTGCTGCCCGCCCCTTCCCCATTTAGACAAGAGTTCTAATCAAGTGTAACAATTGTGTCACCTCCGTCATCATCAAGTTAACTTAGAACTGCCCCATGGAATCAAACAGAAGCTCTGTACCCTCCACCTATCTGTCCCACTCCCTTTAAGCGCTGGACTGTAGACATGAAGAATGTGGGGTTTTGAGACACATACCTTTCGTTTAGCATAGTGTTCTATGTCTGCCCACTTTATCCCCGTTCTGGCCAAATAATTTTCCACTGTATGTGGGATACCACATCTTTCTTATCCACTCATCTAATGGATGTTTGGGTTGTTACAGTGTTTTATAAAAAATTGTGTACAGCTTTTTTGGGTGTCCCCCAACCCCCGTGTGAATGGCAAGAAACCCTCACTTTTATGGCCTTAACCCTGCCTAGGAATGAAAATTGCTAGGTTACTATTAGAACTTGTACAAAACATAGTTTTAGCATGATTTTCACTTGGTGGATTGAACCCGAGGAAGGGCTCTTGGAAGGTGTTCTGCAGAACTTGGTGTTGGTTGTGTGTGCTGTGTTTATTTGAAGGTGCAGCTTGGAATGTGATAGTTTTTAAGAGGTGCCTCCTTGTTCTTCATAAGCAGAGATTACCTGGCCATGTGTTCTTGGGCTCCCCCTTCTGGAGGCCACACTTAACCTTGCCTCTAGGAGGCCCTTGCTGTCAACTGATCACATTGAAAGTTGGGGCCTCCTTGTGACAGGTTAATGAGTAGTGTTTGGTCTTCTCTGAGATGCAGAGCCACTGAGGCAGGGGAAGGTGGGAGCCACATGAATAAGGCTTCTGAACCCATCAAAGCTGCTGCTGCTGCTGCTGCTTTTGTTGCAACGTATGAATTCATAGTTGAAAGGCCGTGTTGTTGGGAAGATAAATGTCATCCTCAAACCCTGTGGGGACCTGAGACATTAGATCTGCTTCCAGAAGCAGTGGCAGTATCCTCTCATTCCTGTTGCACCTCCTCCAGACCAATCTATAGAGGTGAAGGCTCTTGGGACTCGCTCCTTAGCGATAGATGAGTTTGGCCTGTCAGTGGCCCAGCCTACTTGGGTTTCCTTCTCACAGACAGAATCAGAGAGGGGTACCAAAGCTTTCTCCTGTTACACGGGTCACACATGACAGGTGAGGGCATTGTCCCCTGTCTGCTGTTAGACAAGAGAGTATGGTTTTTGTCCCCTGGGGAATGCAACTTCTATCTGTTCAGACAGCCCACAAAGTTCCTGACTGTCCATTTAGGGTTTACTTCATGTTCTAAATGCTAATGTCAAAGAGAATTTATAAGCAGGCATTTGAACAGATGCTGGAAATAATGGAAACCTGCGAGGTCCTTACTGAACACAGTATTAAACTGGACTGGTCTGACTAACATACTTGTTAGCAAACACTGCCCATTGCCTGTGAATGCTTCTCAGTAGGTCTTTGCTGGACAGCTTCATCACTGTAAGTCTCTTGCTTGCTATTTGAATTTTCTCAGGTGGCAGTAACATTTAGAAGGTTCTTGTTGTTATTTTTTTCTGTGTCTTAAAAAACAAAAAAAACAAAAAAAACCTTGATCCAAAAGTGTTTAACTGTCAGCTAGGTAAGAACGTCCTCACCTGTCTACCAGGCAAGTCACAAGTAGATTGTTAAGTAAAGCCCAGCTCCCCATCTCCACACTCTGATCAGAAAACTGTGTCATGAGAAGTGCAGTGCTTTGGATATGGCCAAACAGTGCGGCAGTGTGGTTCTGCTAATGAAGGAATTAGGGCACTGTGGGCACTGATGCCTTCAGAATAGTGTGCTTCTGGTTGGAGAAAGACTGAGGTCAATCTCTGC